TTGGGAATGTTCTCTGACTGAAACTCTGGAGAGCTGCTGCCAGTCAGTGTAGCCAATACTAGATGGACAGTGGTCTGACTGTGTTTAAGGAAGATTCCTATGAGACTGTGAACATATGCCATTGGAATATATCTGTATCAAACATCCCAAGGGCTGTCACATGGAAGATGGAGCAAGCTTGTTTTCTCCTGCTCTGGAGGGTAGTAGTCGAATCAATGGCTTCAAGTTAGAAGAAAGGAGATTCTGACTCAACACCAGGAAGAACTTTCTGACAGTAAGAGCTGTTTAGACAGTGGAAATGTCTCCCTTGGGAGGCAGTGGTCCCTCCTTTCTTGGAGGTTTTTAAGCAGAGGTTGGATGGCCATCTGTTGTGGATGTTTCATTTGAGATTCTTGCATTGCAGGGGGGGTTAGATTAGATGACTCTCGAGATCCCTTCCAATTCTAAAATTCTATGATTCTCCATTACCAGAAGAAGAGAAGAACAACAACTGTACTGGATCAGGCCAGAGTACCATCCTGCCCAAAACCTGTTTTTGCGGTGGCCAACCAGATGCCTATGAGATGCTCACAGGCAAGACCTGAGCCACAACAGCACTCACCCCACTTGTAATTCCCAGCAACGCAGCTGGTATTCAGAGAAATACTGCCTCTGGCAGTGGAGGTAGAACATAGCCTTCTTGGTTAGTAACCATTGGTAGCATGTTCTGTATGGGGGATAAAGCTATTTACAGGCCTTATCATATCTGCCAGACGCCATGAGACTATGGGACTGAGGAGGGAACAGTCCGGCCTCAATACCCAGGACAAAGGATCAAGTTTCTGGGTGTTGTGTATCGCTTCCTCTGCAATCATAAACGAATCATGATGACCCCATCAGCTGCTCTTGGGGCAGATTGCCAGAAGGCACAAGCTACTTTGCAGATTTTTAGGCAAGATCTCAGCATTCCCTCCAAATCTCAGGATAGTCATCCCTGCTGCAGCTGAGGCAAGAGCCACAACCCTCTGTGTCAGCATTAAAGAAGGGCAACTAAAGTGCTTTTCTGAGGCACAAACACATGATGAAGGCACAGTGTGGTGATCTAAGACTTGCCTTTAGGTGTCTTAGAAATGTAGTAAGCAAGACCTGTGTTTGAGAGAATTCATGCAAAAACACTGTCAGCTATAACAACAACATGGATAGAAGTAACCATATTTCCACTGATTTGAATCCGCACCAAGTATGAATAAGTCTAGATCCAACCCAACAAATGAAATAAAACACCACAGACTATGTAAAGAAAGCTCAACTGAACAGCTGTATCGCTGTTCCTCTTCCAGTTCCATGGCACTGGCTTATTGAGAGTGGCTATATTATTGATCTCCAGGACATTGTGCAGTTTGCTCCATAGAGTTAAACGATTTTGACTTGGAACTGCATCCCTCAATTCTTTTAATAGCCAAGAGGAGAACTGAAGGAGTGCTTAAAAGCTTCCAAGCTAGTGTAAACAGCAGCTCTTGATGTCAGAGCAGAAAGGAACTCCGCTTTCTTATTCAGCTCAAAGGTAAGAATGGATTGCAATGTACATTTGGAAAGAAGGAACTGTGCTGTATACAAATTAGACGCAGGACATCAGCCTTATCTAGATATGCCAGAGATTGAACCCAAGACTTTCATGCAAAGCAGATGCTCCAATGCTGAAGTTTAGCCCTTCACCCTAAGTCAGGGGTTGGGTAAAAAAGACCTGGGGGCTGAATATCATGCTCCAGGACTATCTCCCCACGCAACATCACCCCATCTCAAGTTACCTGCCCGCTGTCTCTGCTTCACATCCAGAGTGTTTTTGCCTAGTTGGAACTCAGGTAAGACCTATTGCTTTTCTGAATGGAGAATACAGATGTCTGTATATAAACTATCCTACTGCATTTGTACAAAGGTAAATTTTACACGTTACTTTGTTCACTTTTGCATCTGGCCCCACTCACTACTGCCATATGGCCCCCAGAAGGTTGCCAGAAGGGAATATGGCCCTTGGGATGATCATTTTTCTTCCCTTGTCCTAAGACTGTTGGTCCACTTGTAGTCTATGAAGTTACTCTCCAAGGTCTTAGGAAGAGCTCTGCTACCTGAGACCTTTTTAAATGCAGGTGCCAGCTGCTGAAGCTGGAACTTGATAAAAGGCACAGATTATATTACCTAATACGGAGCTACTATTACCCACCCCCCAATCTGTTCAGGTTCTTTTTACTTTACAAAAAGCAAATGTCCAACATAGCCTGCATTTGCAGTAAAACAGGGATGGAGAAGCTAGGGCCCTCCAAGATGTTGTCAGACACCAACTCTCATCAGTCCCAGCCAGCACAGCCAGTTGGGAGGCCAACAACATCTGGAGGTTCTCCACATGTACACTGCAATGTGTGAGAGCTAACTATACTTTGCTGCTTTCTTATTGCAGTACTGAGTGGATGTCTTGCACTGGTAGGAAGAGAAGAGATGCACCAGGACAGAACTAGGAGTCATCCTCAGGACTCCTGCTCAACTGTCTCTCCAATTCAGAGTGGGGACAATTTGAGCTACTCCCCACAATTACTATTTGGTGAATTTGCGGCTGCCCACTTTGTACTGCCACTGAGGAAGAGTATCACCCTCAGAAGATAGATGAATGACATGGATCACAAGCATTTTGGGCTTCTCCGTGTTTTATTTGAAGAGACACCTAAAGGTATTGAATGTCTCCAGTCAGTACAGACTTTTAAGAAACCTTTGGATTCTAGAAAGTCATTGTGTCAGTATTAAGAGTGAAATAATAACAACCCGAGTGACCAGAAAACTCACTTCTATGCTGAGCAAATCCAAGAAAAGTTTTATGTGAAACATAGTATGCAAATGGCACAAAAATGTATTATTGCAAATGCAGCTGATTTTATATGCAGGATACAATGTCTTACAGGTTTTCACAAGAACTTAAAAGGCAAATGGTTAGCTGTGACACCATACACCAACCACTGTCAGTGAATGCTACAGTTGCACCCTGACTTCATCTCAGGAAAAGTGGGACCATGTACTGATGTTTTTTGGAGACACAACGTCATTTTTGTACATTAGGGAACAATAACGGAGTTGGGAAACAGAGGTGGCTGAAGGAACTGAACCCTTGATATAGATATGAATTTTATTTCCGCAGCTTTATGTCATCAAAGTTGTGATGGAGGAGAAAAAAGGTGTATTCAGTTCGGACTAGGTATTGGTTTATTAATTCGAAATTACGAGAAATACCATTTCAGATGTTTTGTATTAAGTGAAGAATCACATTTGATGATGTGGAACGTGCTTTTACACTGATAATGTGTTGATTGCTTGGGTTGCCATAGCTGGAACCTTGTGAAAAACAGGTGATTGTAGGCTACTAAAAAAAAGGTACCAAGAAGTCCCTTGCCTTTCCTATCAAGGGAAGCAGAGATGCAGGTTAAGCCCGTTCATGCAAAATACAAAACACATGAGGAAAGCATGTAGAACAAGGATCTCACACACTAATCCCATACATCTTCCTCTGCATGTCAATACTAAAATTTGAACAGAATTTATCTGCATACAAGCTGTATAGGCATAGGCCTTGGTCAATTTTGCAGTGTATTATAAGAGGCTGGGGGAGAATGGTCGATTTCTACTCTGGCTTACAGCTCCTTGGATGACTTTGGCCCTAGTCTCCCAGTCCAACATACCTCCCAGGATTGCTATAGGACAGACTTAGTGAATCATCCTCAGCTCCTTAAAAAACAAAACAAAACATAGAAGTGATTGACTTATTTCTTTGAGGGTGAAGAAGTATAAGCTGAGAACTATAGATCTTGCTTCCTGTGTGCACTGCTGTGCTGGGTGAAGAAGCCACTTCCCAGAGAGAGTATGGCAGCTGGCACAAGGTTGGTGCTTAGCAGCCATTTACGATATTTTGAATCACTGAGTTTGCATTCTTTTGTTTGATAAGTTTGTTTTTCTGCCTTATTTACCAGCACTTTGAATTGGGCCTGGACACTAATGGGCAGCCAGTGCAGTCAAGCCAGGAGTGGTGTTATATGCTCAAACCACTTTACTCTAGTGAGCAAGCTGGCCCCATCCTTATCAAAACCTTGTTGGTGTTTAATAAATATTAAAAATTAGAGTAACGTAAGCAAACATAGAAGCTGCAAGGCATTTCCTTTATGCTGTTTTATCATGTCTTGTGTTTGCACTTAAAAAACACACACAAAAAACCCCCAAGCACACGAATTAAGTGAATGACACTGAAGAAACCCTGAAAAAATAAATATTTGCTATTATGATGGAGCACAGCAAATGTAGCAAAGGTGCCATCTGTGACACACAGTTCACAGGTGTCATCCTGAATACTGCCCAGAAAAAACTGGTGCACAGAAGTCAGGATGTAACTCCATCTGACTAATGAAGGGGAAGGAACCTGAAGCTGGTTGACTTTCCAGTGCTAATACTACAAAACAGCTAATATGGATCAAGACAGAGCACGACTACCTGCTACCTTCGTGCAGCCACTTTACTGGGGATATTATACAGACAGTAACATCAATATAGCACACTCTCCAGAGACAAGAGAACTGGATAATGCACATGGGGGGCATTTAACTCCATGTCCCCAATTTCTAACTTTATTCATGATCCAGGTTAACAAGCTATAAAATCAAAATGTATAGAAGAAACCTGCATTACAAGGCTATTTTTATTCCCTCCCTTCCCTGCAATGTACCTGTTTTTTAAAATCTAATTGAATTTCCCCATCTCAGATGGGGCTCAGATGTCCACATCCTTGAAAAGCAATTTATTTGCCTGCAACTAACATTTGTTCCCCATCTGTATGCAATAAACTTTTTAATCATTTTTTCATCTTCAATAACTCTACGCATAGCAACTGCCTTGATGAATCATTCCTGGGAGGTCAATTTGCCCCCTTAGAGGGTTAACAAAGTACAGATCAAGAGGTTTGCCTCTTTTAACAAACTCAAGGACACTAGTGAAAGAAAACACATTTAATAGCAATATACAGCCATGCATTTGGTTGGTTATTTCAAATCAACACAGGACATTCTGATCATCTTTACTCTGTTCTCCTCCATTCTCTAGGCTTCTTCCATCATTAGGCAAGCATGAATCATCATCCAAGTCAAAGTGACTTTCCAGTTTCCTGAGGGCAGCAGCATTGAATCTGAACATTAAGCAATTTATAGAATCAAAAACTGATCCTTTCTTCACAATAGTTAGAATGTTCACCAACATTCTGCGTCATCACAGCAGTGCAGCATTAGAAGTTGGTGAATTCAGACATTCTGTGACAATGCTACCTTGGGGGCTGGTGAACAGGGCAGTTGGATGTACAACTTTTTAGTTTTTTGTCTACTAAGAGAGCAGCTGTTCTCGTTCACAGGCTGCCTCTTCCAGCACCAAACTTACAATACTGAAAAACACAAAACACATACATAGCTCCAATAAATAGTTTATTAAGGTAACATGACAATGGAAGGGAATGCAGCAGCTCCTTTGAATTTCCCCCTTGCACAAGTTAAGGGGAAGGCACAGCTTACTGCAAAATCCACATTGCAATAAGCTGCACTCTGAAAGACCTCAAACTCACACAGCTCTTCACAGAAGATACAGACTCAGCCCTATGCTCTCTCTCCCCCTTGCTCTCCAACTTTCCCTTTATGGGAAAGCACTGAATATCACTGGCCCCAACATCCCCCTTCTCATCCAAGCTATGCTCCCGAGACCTGAGTATTCAGGAGTGGGGATGGTAGGCCTCAGTCCGCATAGGCAAAAAGACATGAAGATGCAGGAACAGGTGAGCAAGAAGGGCAGCTGAATCACCACTCCGATCTGGCCCCTAGAAAGGGAGCCTCTTCAGCTGCTCATAGGTGATAAAAAACTGTCAACAAGTTAAAGAAATGCCCTCAAGGAATTGGCTTTTCATTCCACACCCTGCTCCCTGTCCCAAGTCTCATCGCAGCTAAGCATCCACTTTATAGGTTTCTATTTCAAACCATGAAACAGAAGGGCAATCCAGTCATAAGTGCTTTCGACCTGGAGCTGCTGGGACAAGAAGACTCTCAACCAACAACTGCTTTGGATAACCATCTGCAACTATTCACTCGTGAAATATCAGAGAAGCCACTTTCTCACCCAAGTAATGAGGCAGCTCCACAGTCAGAATTGCAGAAGCCTAGAGACTGGTACTATTTGGTCAAAAAGCAGGAGAGAAAAAAATAGCCACCCAGATAACAAATATCCCTAGGACTTCCCTCATTGTTTCTGAAACTTGAGAACTACAAAGCCTGTTTTCCACCTGTGTTGGTCATGCTAGACAACAAGAGTACTGCTTCATCATCCCCCGCCCCTCCCCCATTTCAGGCGTGAGAAATCTGGGATATACATATAGTCCAAATACACAGTTAACATATGAAGCTCCCTTATACCAAGAAATACCACTGTTCTGAAAGCAGAGATCTTTCCTGTATCTGACTACTAGAGGTCCTTTTTTAAATGGGAGCTGCCTGGATTGAAGTGGAATCCTCTGCATGCAAAGTATGAGCTCTGCCACTGCTAAGCTGTGCTATGTGGTACCTATGGCCCCTTTGACCACTGTTCTGCAGCCTTTACTTTGCCCACTCAGTGTAATTGTATCACCACAGTTTAGTACACCCTAGATAAATAAAACCAAAGCTGAAAAGGGCCCCAACTCCCCACCCCTGAGAAAATATCAATTTGGCTAAAGATGCACAGCACAGAAAGACTACACAGAGGACCAGTTTGTTTGTTTTAAAATGAAAAACAAGGTCCTTTCAGCTCCAAGAGTCTCACAATTCCCATAATGTACAGTGGCCTGGTTCACATACGACTTTAAACTAAAGTACAGTTGAAAAGCATGCACACAGTGATGAAATCACAGGAGCTTGTCTCTTCCCTTGTTCCTGCCATGCTGCTGGAAACTAAGCTGTAGTGTGGCTTAGGATTACCGTATTTTTCGTTCCATAGGACGCTCCGTCCCATAGGACGCACCTACTTTTTTGGGGGGGGAATAAAGGAAAAAATTTTTTCCTTTATTTCCCCCCCCAAAACCAGGTCGGGGAACAGTGGGATGGCGGCGCTGCGCCTCCCCGTTGTCCACCGAGCTTGTGGGACTGGCCGATGTCTGCCCGGCGTGAGGGCGCTCTGCTTCCGGGCACCCCACGCGCCGGGCGGCAGGCTGCAGACACCTGCGCGAAGCACGGGGCGTCCTCCGGAGGGCGCCCCATGCTCCGCGCTGCCGGCTGCCGCCCGCAAGCCATGTGCGCTCGGGGGGAGTTCCCCCGGGAGCGCAAGACTTGTGGACACCTGCGCAAAGCACGGGGCGTCCTCCGGAGGGCGCCCCATGCTCCGCGCTGCAGGCTGCCGCCCGCAAGCCTTGCGCTCCCGGGGGATTTCCCCCCGGGAGCGCAAGGCTTGCCAACACCTGCGCGAAGCACGGGGGGCCTCCGGAGGGCGCCCCGTGCTCTGCGCTGCAGGCTGCCGCCCGCAAGCCTTGCGTGCCCGGGGGAACTCCCCCCGGGTGCGCAAGGCTTGCAGATAGCTTCCTGGAGCCTGGAGAGCGAGAGGTGTCGGTGCGCACCGACGCCTCTCGCTCTCCAGGCTTCAGCGAAAGCCTGCATTCGCCCCATAGGATGCACACACATTTCCCCTTCATTTTTGGAGGGGAAAAAGTGCGTCCTATAGGGCGAAAAATACGTACATCTTAACGTAGGTTAGTGGTTTAATTCTCTCCACAAGTATACTACGAACTGTAACCAAAGTCTGCTATTAGCTTACCACTTATGGTTTGTTTAGAGAGCAGTAAACCCACAAGCCCAGGTTCAGAACCAAAACTAAACCAGACCATGGCTTGGTCCCTAGCAGGAACAAACAAGGAGCAAAGTGAAGCCCTTGCAATTTTAGCAGCCTGCATCAGCACACTGGGCATTCACCTTTAAACAACAGTTTAGTTTAGTTGCAGTTGAAAGTGAAATGAGAATACATCAATGTTGGATTGTTGTAAGATCTGTCTAGCTGTGATCTAATATCTAACTCCAGAAAGAAGACTATGGGATAATTGCTTTGAGAACTCTCTCCGACTTTCCTTTCCCACCAAGGTCACACACATTAAAGGATACAATGATGTTCCAGGGGCCAAGCCGCAACCAATTTGGCCAGAATCCTTTGTAAAGCGCGAAGAAGCCCTCACTTTTCCATGTCTGGGAAGGAGACAGAAAATTTTCAGGACCCACTGTGATCAACCTACCAGTTCTCTCAAAGGCCTGCAGTTATATGGCAGACCAGAAAGCAATTAGCTTTCTGTTACAGGGTGATATTCAGTCTCTAGATAACCTCTAGTTCAGAGGAGGGGAACCTGTAGCTCTCCAAGTGTTGTTGAAGTCCAGCTCTCATCATTCTCAGGCAGAATGTCCAATGGGTCAGGGATGATGGGACTTTGTAGCCCAGCAACATTTGGAGTGCCACACGTACCCGCTATCTCCTCCAGCTGCTCATTACATGCATTTGCTCTTTCTAGTGTTTTAACTGCAGGCAAAGTCCCAATGGCTAGCTTTGGAGGCAGGCACAAGAATTACCAGGAATACACAGACATGTGTTTGTGTGCAAGTCTCCTTCATTTAGAAGGCACAAGAAGTTCCCAGTAGATTTGTCATTTATCCTTGTCTTGGAAAAAGCGCGATCCCTAAATACACACCAAATAACTGATCAGTTTGTATCTGTATTTATTTATTTTATTTTTTAAAAGTAGTTAAGAAGAAAGGGGCTGATTGAAAGAGGCTGTTTGCTTCTACAAACTGTGAATGGATGACATAACACTGGGATGTTAATTAGCTTTTGGAGAAACCTCACTTGCCATATACACATCACTGAATTATTTTAACGTTATACGAGCAACTTCAAAGGACTTTTAGGATTTTAACCCATCTTCCATTTTGTCCCTGACATTTCAAGACTCAAAAGCGACTCCGTTACAAACCTTACCTTTACCAGACCATCCAGTGTACCCCTGTAGAGGTCAACGGTCCCCACAATGGCCCTTTGATTCATCATACGTGTCCGCACCACATCCACTGGATTTGAAGCAACAGCACCAGCCAGCCCACATGTAAAACTGGAACTAAATAGAGAAGAATACATGAGGTTACTTTTTGCACTCCAGGGGAAGCAATTTGGGGTTGCAGATTCCTCCCATTCTTAATATACTGCTTCTAGAAACAAGACTGACATATTGGAGGTGATGTGCACAGGAACCATTTTTTCTGGTTACCACCAGCCCCTCTCCCCTAATTCTTCCGGTATACACAGACAACTCAAAGTAGGGCCAGGATTAGTTAGCACTGGCTTTGGTAAAAGTTAGAAACAGTGCAGATCTGTCCTGACTGCTCCTGACCAGAATCTGGTAAGAAGTTAGAGATGAGGCCCTTTCTGTTCCAGAGATCTCTGTATGTGCTTGAGGATTCAAGAGAAGGGCAGGGCTTGCCCCTCATTTCCAGCATGAAGTGAGCGAAGGGGCATTTTCTCTTTTAACTTCCCCTTCCTCTTCTGAAAAGTGGAGGTGCCTGGCAGAATCGAATGTAAGGTGCCTACAGATGATTTAGTAACTGTTTTTTCTTAATTTACTTGTGTTTATGTTACAAAGATGATTTAGTAACTGTTTTTTCTTAATTTACTTGTGTTTATGTTAGATTGGTACTTCCATGACACAAACATTAAAAAAAACACCTACTCCTCAGGCAGTGGAAATGAGAAACTTCAGCACAGAAGTGTAAAGTCCATGGGCCACGTTCACCTTTGACGAATCTTCCAGGAGCTGCATGCCATCAACAGGTGTGACCAAAAATAGACGTACTCACACAATACTGCTCCCCGTTCATCCTCTCACACACAGAGCTCATATCCTCAGCTGATTCATGCAGACCAGCCTCGGAGAAGGAGTTATCACCTCTGCTCATCAGAAAATTGATCTGACTGTGGGTAGAGGTGATCTGCCCACCACAGCACTATGTTTGCATTCATTTTATACATGCAAAACTGGTCAATAATTACATGAAGTGGGCAAGGATTGTGTCCCCCACAAGTCCTGAAAGGATCAAGTGCTTCTTGGTGATGTCATAGACTGGCAATTCAACTCCCACCACTATGGCAGCTCTCTGAGCAGTAGGGACAACACCCTGCCAAATAAAAAGACTGAAAGTTAATAGTGCTGCCACCAGAGACCCTCAATCTAGTAACTCCCATGCATCTCCACTCCCAAATACCTTGACATTTGCAGCCTGCATAATCTTTTGGAAAAGGAAGGCTCATTGGCTATTAAGGCCTACCAAAGTATCCTGGGCATAATAACATTTGCTATCCTTAGAAAAGTTAGAAAAGATAGCTTCCTGTACTATCCTTAACTCTGCAATAGAAAACAAAATTTGACTAGAATACAGCACACTGATTTCTTTATATTACTTAATGTTCTTGCCTTGTAGTCCCCCTCCTTCCAAGAAGTTGCATCTTGGTATTTGCTTGCTTAAGTCAGAGCTGGGGAATTGAATTAGGGAAGAATGCAGTACTGGATCCCACTTTGTGGCTTTATTATATTAAACGGGTTTAACTCTACAAACCCAAGGGGTTTGCAACCATGATCCCAGTTGCTGCCTCCCCCCCCCCCCACTCAGAAAAGACAAGCAAGCTATTGAATCCACCTCATGAACTGGACAAATTAAGATTCTGCAGAGAATTTCTGCAGGTTCAATAGCTAAAGAAGGGGAAGGAAAAAGTAAGGAATAGGTCAAGTTCATTATCCTTTCATTCCAGCACTTTGCTAGACATGCATACAGTTTTATAATAATTTTATAATAATCTGGGTGGTTTTGTTGTTGCATTGCTTTGTTGTATGTATTTTAATTTATTCTTAACCTTGATGTGGACCACCTTGAGAACTTGGATGTATGGGGATATAAATACTATTTGTTATGGAGCAGAAAGCATTTATCCAGCACAAAAACATGTTATCGCATTCCATGTTCTCTCATGCTAAGGTGGCATCCAGAACAAAGATAGCCTTAAGACAGGGGTCAGCAAACTTTTTCCGCAGGGGGCTGGTCCACTGTCCCTCAGACCTTGTGGGGGGCCGGACTATATTTTTTGGGGGGGGGGGAAATCCCCCCTCACTGACTCTCCCCTCCCTTCTCCACAGCACCGGACGAGCCCCGGTGGCTGCTTATCTGTGCCTTGCGAGCGGCAGGGGCTGGCAGCGGAGGGACAATGAGCGGAGTGGAAGGGCTGGCTCGGGGTGTGTGTGTGTGCTGCTTAAAATGGCGCTCAGCCAACTGTGGCTCAACAAAGCCCAGCCCCCTTCCTTCTCTAGGCAGGGCGGGAGAAGCCAAGAGGAGGGAGGGAAGAGGTGCCGCTGCCACAGTGTGTGGGGGGGGGGAGAATGGCACAGCCCAAACGATCAGAATCCCCATGACGATTCCCAGACCATCTGCGGGCCGATCTAGCCCCCGGGCCTTAGTTTCCCGACCCATGGCTTAAGACAACCACTGGAAGAACCCTGGTCACTTCTCAAACTATGGCAGAAAAGTTGGGGAGCAACTTACCCCCTGACCCCTCTTTAACTGTAGCAAAATCAGGCTTCCCTCAATAATCTCTCTAAATAGTAGACAATGGGGACATCTGAAAAGGTACCGGGCAAGATCACCTCTGAACACACACCCCAGAAATTTGAGCACTGTACTTAAGGAATACATGCTGATACTAAGGCAAACTAGGAATATTAGCCGATTCAATCTGCAGCACACTCACTATACCAAAACAACGTGGATTTTACATAAGTTAGGAAACCAAAATGCAGAAATTCATATTATCCTTGATAAGTCTCACTACAAAATAAGACTTGATAAGACTTGATATGTCTTACTACAAAAAAGTTTGTTCTCTGAAGAATTTTTTAAAAAACAAATGATAGATGGATGGGGGTGCTAGCACTACAAGAAGTAGTAGGTGAGGAAGGAGGGAAAGAAAGAAAGTGTACAAAAGAAGGACTTACTCTCCATAGCCCCCGCGTGCCTTCTTGCTGGTAGATGTCTATGAAGCTTCCAATCATTCCTCCTTGGAACAGACTGCCCTGAGCCTGCATTCGGATCTAAAAGAGACGGATGAGCAAGAGACTTCCTAGTTAGAGAAATGAATCAACATTCCCGATAAAGTAATGAATGAGCTGCTATCCAAAGTAAACTGCTTGTAAACCCAAGAATCTAAGCATGAAGCAGCTGTCTAGCAGGGTATCAAAACTATTTGTTGTATATGGCTGGTCTTGAACTAGTAAGCCAGGGCCTATGGGTGGGTCATGCTGTAAACTAATATGGTATTATCACCACAAACTTATTGTGTATGTGTGCTTAAGGTTGAAAAAAAGGTTTGAGAGAGAAAATGTGACCAGATGCAAGGAAGGCAATCCTCCTCTACTGTTAAACCATTCTGTGGGTTTTCTCATCCCTCAAATATCAGCAGCACCTGCTTAAATTACCTCTTCTGCACAAGTACCACTGCTGTCCTCCTTTGCTTCTGGTCACCCAAGAGAGAAAGAAGCAGGAAGACAGCAAAATATAGCTTGCAGGGGGTTAAAATGAGTCTTACAATAAGCCTGCAACTTATGCACATTTAATTTGTCCACATTCAGCTTTATGTGCAAAGTAATATTTTAAGAATTAAAAAGGGGTGAAAAGGGGGTGTTCTGGGGAAATTTACTTTGGCAATCCTGGCCACCCACTGAACCAAATGGCTTTTGACTATAAGTGATTTTGGCTTGAGGGGTGATCCCTGGAATGTAGCCACTGTGTAAATTGTGGGCTTACTGTATTTAAAGTATATACAGTGGATGCTCGGGTTGTGAACGTGATCCGTGCAGGAAGCACGTTCGCAACCCGCAGTGCCTCGTCAGTTGCAATTCGGCGTTTTTGTGCATGCGCAAAGTGCGATTTAGCACTTCTGCTCATGTGCCGAAACCTGGAAGTAACCCGTTCTGGTACTACTGGGCTCGGTGCGGTGCGCAACCCGAAATCGCACAACCCGAAGCGTCTGTAACCCGAGGTATGACTGTAAACTGCTTGATCAGAAATACTCCAAGCAGTATACAAATAAAAATGACAAAACATATTGAAAAATCCCCAAACAAATTAAAACCAAATATGAATGGATCCATCATCATTTTAAACAAATACAAAAATTCATTAATATTTTTAGAACAAGATAGCAGGCTGTAGTTAAAGGCTCATCAGAAGAGGCTGAGGACTACTGGTCTTCACGTGTCTAACTTAAAAGTGTTACACTAATGTGAAACTGTATTCCGTCTCTTCCCTTTGTTGCTGTGTGTGTGGTCAAAAAGTATGGCAAACATGGAGTAGCAGCTATGGCAGTGCTATGGATTGTAGAAGCAAAATAACAGCATCTCCACAGGCTAAGGACCAAAGGAGATAACATATGGAAGCAGCAAGTATATACACAAAGGCAGGTCCCTCTTACCTTCAGTACATCTGTTGGATTTGCCAGCGCAGAGGAGATCACCCCTGACACAACTCCACATATAACATTTAGTAGTAATGTTTCATCTGCAAACAGAAAGGAGTTTGGAGAGGAAGTTATAACCCCAGCATGGACCCCAAAGGAGGGAGAGCAAGAGAGTATTTTAGGAAGAAAAACAAAGACAACAAAGATGTAATGCTACATAAAGACCAAGAGTTCCAGCTTTTTTTCTTCTGGGCCTATGGCACCAAGAACAGCCTTGTGACACTTCTAGTTTTTAATGAAAGTCCTTCTGCAGCTTGACCAATGAGAGCAAAGGAGCACACTACCAGTTAACTTGCTCTTTGGGACAGTTATCTGTCTAAAGAAATGTCATCCAATCCCATAGGGGCAATGTTCAAAGAATTTTGATGGTGGGGGTGGGGAGGATTCTACCAAAACCTAGAAGAGCCATCCCCAAGACCAAAAAAACCCCAGCCAAGGAGATTAGATCATTAGTTCAGAAAGTAAAAGCCAAGAGTTAGAGCAGAGTTAATGCTGGGAAGGGCAGTGGTACTGACCGCAGCGCTCTCCAAAGGAGACCGGGTCAACAGCTGCGTGGGGCCTGAAGGGAAACAAATATTTAGGACATAGTACCCAGAAGCAGAGAGACCATGACACACCACACGTGGCAGGCATAGACAGAGGCAACTTTGTTGGGCAGCCAAGAGACAAGGAGGCATGTTGCTGGATTCTAGTAAGTTATGTTACATTCTACAATTGCAAGTACTAGAGGAACTCAAGCTATGCTATGGTTTCTCCATCAGGAGCCCAGGGGTGGCAGGACTACCAGCTTAATCAGAGTCCACAACAACAACAGTACCAAGTTCCAAGTTTCCAAAAGGAAAGCAAGAGGACAGTGCTGCCCAGGAACTTGATTCTGAATTGCAGGAAGTACTAGAGAGGCTGCCAGGAAATGGACCAAGATGAAGCTAAGTAACAGCCAGTTGTTTGAATGAAAATCACAGCATGACTGGCTACAATACCTCACCTACCTCCAGGAAAAAGCATCTCTTCCCCCAACACTCAAGTATCACTCCAGTTTTGCCAGACTCCAGGAATAGCAGGTGCTATTTGTAGTGCATCTATGTGTGTGCATAAATGCATGCATAGAAGTCCTTTCAGACTGATGTCAGCTGTGCATTGGCTGTGGTAGTAGTGCATGTCAACCATGCATGCCCGTATCCAGAGGGTGGGATTAGTCCATGTATGCATGAGCCCTTTCACATGCTTATATTGTTGTGAGACCTGAAAGACCTGCTCCCTGCCTTGCAAGCCTTTTCCATCTGGTCTGGGACTGCCAGGTCCTAACTGACTCCAGCTACAAAAGCTGAAGCTGCTGAACAGATCTCAGGCTGGGGTGTTGCTTGGGGTGGTTTTTTTGGGGGGAGGGGGTATATTTATTTTACATCTTGTGATTTATGTGGAAAGTGTTCAGTTTGGTTTTTTTTTTTGTTTATTACTACTTTCGTAATGTTGCAGTTTTGTATTTTTTCGTATTGTAAGCCACCTTGAGCATGGCTTGAACTGTGGAAAGACAGCATACAAATGAAATTATGTATGTATGTAATAGAATCATCCCTGCATGCTTAACTTAGTATACCTACACCAAAGGGCCCAATCTCATACAGTAGCCACTGATAAACAAACATTAAGTGAGAACTTTTTTTAAAAACATGAATTATGACCAACAAGAGCAATTGCAGCCAAAGACGCTGTAGAAAATGTCAAAGACAGCAAATGAAGGGCAGAGAAATGTGGCTCACTCTCCCTTGAAACAACAGAACTAAAAAATAAAGCTACTCCTGAGGAGTAAACTTTATAACTTGAAATATGTTGAGTCTTTCTAGAACACCTTTGGGTGCAGTTCCATCATCTATTTGCAGTGGATTGATGCAGCCCTTTTGTCCACCTTAGGGATTTGAGGCCAGAGACATAAAAGAGGAAGCCCAAACCAGATAAATTATTTATAGTATGGCATCATCAATATACATGGCCCTATAGATTAAGAAAAAAAGGCACACACTGTTTTCTTGGCAAACTAACCTTCTAATCGATCCACAAAAAGTCGCTTCAAAGTCTGGTATATACCAATCTTTATTGTGCCATAAGATGCTTGTCTTAACAAGGCTGGAGCGATCCTGTGGTGGGGGAAGAAGACAGTTAAGTTCCACTCAGCAAAGCAGGAGCATCACTCCTCCTTGGGGGGTTTTGGCTGAGTTCCCCTAGCATTCCAATTACAGTATACAGTTTTGACTCTTGCTATCTACAGGTTCTGAAACCTCAATTTAAAGGATGGGGAAGATGCCTCAAGCATTGTGTGGTTACTGTACATAAAGGACAGTGCTTTACCCAGAGTAGAGTGCAAGAATGCCTTCTTCCCTGGAGATACGAAACAAGGCATGGAACATGCCCCGATACTTGATCTCTCGGAAACGGGCATCAATGCTTTGGCCTTGGACTTGAAGCCGTGTTTTGGTGAGATCCACAGGAAACGTCCCTATAAGAAAAAGAGAGAGAGACTTCAGTTCAGACACCAAAGTGAGGGCTGAGAAGGATGCTGATTAGTCAACCCTGCCCCAAATCCATGCCAACACTAGCCGCTCTGTAATAATTTACATATTTGACTAGGATGCAATCAAGTTCATTGCCTTATTTCTTCCTACAAAGCGCAAGTATCGCCTGTACTGAACTAAGCCATCCAAACAGATAAGTATTTCTCCCATCTGCTTCCCACACTCCACCAAAACCAACTAAGGGTCTTGTGGCACCCTTAAAGACCAACCAATTTATTAAGGCGTTAGAAGCAACATAGGAAGCTGCCTTATACATAGTCAAAACATTCGTTCGTGTAGCTCAGCATTGTCTACAGTAATTGGTACAATTCTCCAGGGTTCAATAACTGCCAACTGAGCTACAGCACGCTGTTGAGTCATATCTGAACAGCTCAAGAAGGCAGAAACCAATACAGTGGTACCTCGGGTTACATACACTTCAGGTTACAGACGCTTCATGTTACAGACTCCGCTAACCCAGAAATAGTACCTCGGGTTAAGAACTTTGCTTCAGGATGAGAACAGAACTTGTGCTCCGGCGGCGCGGCGGCAGCGGGAAGGCCTATTAGCTAAAGTGGTCTTCAGGTTAAGAACAGTTTCAGGTTAAGAATGGACCTCTGGAATGAATTAAGTTCTTAACCCGAGGTACCACTGTACATTTTGCCATAAGGAATTAATCTGTTTTGTTATTCACTGTAAATAAATTAATGAATTTAGTGTTTAATTGCATCCTATCAAGAACCAGAGCTGAAGTGCTGTTTGATACCTTAAAAACTCTGTCTATATGCACACACGTGATTTATGGATGTCAGTAAGATACAGTATACACTTGATTTGTAAGGGAGAAGACAGGAAGGCCCACCTCATCAGCTCTGCTGTGACTGTCTTTTGGCTCCTCCTCTCCTCTCTTTCAGTGGCTGTTTCATTTGTTTATGGAACAGTTATGCAACTATGAAGAACTAATACCTGAATTTGCTTTTTCTCTATTCCTTCCCTATCATTTCCCCTTTGAAACATGTCTGCTAGCCTTTAAGTGTACATACGGGATCTGTGTTTTGCTTTTAAATCTTTGCATAGCACTTAGAAAACACTAAGCAATTTATAAATTATCATACAGAAACACAAAGCAATGTGTACATGCATGATGTATGCATACACACATAGATGTGATAACATTTCATGCAACTAAAGCGGTCTCCAGTTGACAAAAGCATGTGTCACAAATAAAGCTACTTACTCCTTAAGGTGCCACAAGGACATTTAATTGCTTTTACAATTAAAATATTTAAGAAGTCAGGAACAACCCATGGACCCAAGTCATCCACTGTTATATATATTTATGTGTATTTTTGCCACTCTTCCTCTGAGGAGTTCAGATTGGCATAAAATATCCTGCTTTTCCATTTTCACCCTCACAACACATAGGTAGAGTGAACGTATAGCGAACAAAGTCACCCCAAGAGCTTTTGTGCTGAGGAGTCAAACCAACTTCTTGCCTGAACTAGTATGAAAAATGAGGCCCTGCAACATAGGGGCTTCTCTCTATATCCCACCTTCCTTCTGAGGGTCACAAGACCCATGTATGTGGTTCTGTCACCCCCACTACAGCCCTGCAAGGTAGGCTAGGCCAAGTGACAGTGCTAGGCCCAAGGTCATCCACTTAGCTTCACCGGCACCTCGGTTCCTTGAGTTCTCATTCAGAACTTTTAACCCCTACATCATACTGTCCGTCCCCACCCCCCACGTTCCCCACCTTCCCCTTTCTCTTTCCATTTCCAATAAGCCACCCTTGCAATGACCACCCGTTGTTTTCTCGTTTTCTCCCTCCATCAACATGATATACTTTTGCCTCACAACAACTCTGCGAGGTAGGCTGGTCTGACAGCGCGCCAGCGGCCCAAGGTCACCCTGCGAGCTTCGCCGGCAGGTGGAGATGCGAAGCAGGTGATCTCCCCTGTCCTAAAACCCCTTCACCCCGCCGAGGCTTCCCCACCCCCTCTTCTCTGGCAGAGTGGTATGGACCGAACTGAAAACGGGATGCGCCATTAGCAGTGAGGGGATGGAGATAAGGAAAAGCCCTCAAGGGCCGGACAAAGCCTCCTAACGGGCACCAGACAGCAGTCCGAAGGCACTAGGCCCTCGAAAGGGCGTGGCCTGTTGCCCGGTAACGGGGAAGGGGCGGGGTTAAGCGAGAGCGTGCGCCCAGGCCGGGGCCCCCCACCCACCTCCCGGGTCCCTCTTTCCCCTCTCACCCACCGAACTCGGCGACGAGCGAGGCCAGGCCGCCGTAGACGAACGGCTTCCAGCTCAGGACCGACATTGCGGCTGAGGACGGGAGCCGGCAGGGACGCCCCCACCCCCGCTCCTTTTCCCCAGAGCAGCCTGGCTCTTTCTTTCGCACGGCGGCGCTCCTGCTGAGGAGAGAGAAAGAGCGGCGACGGCAACCGGCAAAGGCCAAAAAGCGGGAGGGAGGGGGAGGAGTAAGGCTTTCACTACCCGCGTGATATAAAATGCGCAAGACCGTCCCACAGCTTATGACTGGACAAGTGAAGCGGGCGTTTTCCAAGGGGCGGGGTGAAATTCGGCCAATGGCAAAGCGGCGGCCGGAGGGGCTCTGCCCCGCCCATGCAGCACGCGCGACGTCACGCCCTCCCGCCCCGCCCCCTTCCCTTGACCAGGATTCCTGAGGGATGAGCGGGAGAGACAAAGGAGAGGTTGAGGCTGCCACGACGGGTTGAGTGCCTGGCTCGTGGGAAAAGGTTACACCCGTGTGTGGCGTAGCGATTAGGACTAGGTTCTTGCGATTTCATTCTTGCCTGTTGGCCAGCATGAGAGGATGATGGTCATATTAAATACTGTATAGGAGGACATCATCACTACAGATATTTGGGAAGGAACAAACCACCCATCTACACAACAGAAGAAAGGTCTTTCTAGGCCTGTGCAGTGTTTTTATCAAAGCGACTCCTTTCATTTTCACATTTAAAATCTGAAGATTTTTGTAGATCATGAACAAAACAGAGCAAGACCTTCATGGCAGACATCTGTGGAGATCACTGTGATCTGCAAACACTTAATGTCAGATCTTGAATGCCTTTCCTTGACTAAATCTGTTTTAAGAACAACCTTTCTCAGAAACTAGTACTGTATCAGGTTTATCACCCTTGGTCTTCGTTTCCAGACAATCAACTGTATCTGACAATAAACACATCAATTTGGTCTCAATAAAGGCATTGTTAATGGAACACAGTATCACACTGGCATCTATTGATACCAATTACCCTTCCTGGGGGTGGGGGGAACCCTGTGGCCAAAATGAAAAGGGAAAAAAAGCTCAAATGAGTTAATAACTGATGGTGATTTTAATTGGAACATAAAAGAATCATTGTATTTTTTTAAAAAATCTGTTTTATGTGTTTTTTGCAAAAAGACTATATGTCCATTTTGAACAAATAAGTTGCCATTCTGAACGTTTTATTGGCTCTCCTTACCCCTTCACATTTAAAGTAATTAATACCTGTACTTATTTTGGCAAATAATCAGTAGTGTCCTTGACTAGTCTAAGCTTTGCACAGTTTTGCTATAATTCTGCAGTTCAGTTACTTCTATAATAAATCTACATATGTCACAAGTTTGAAAAAGCAGTTGAATTAACTTAAACCTTGAAAAGATACAGTATGGTTTATGTCCTCCTTCAACAGTAGAGGGCACTCCAGTACCACTAAATGTATAAGGTAAACCATAAGAATAACAATCAAGAGAATCAGAGAATTGAAGACTTGGAAGCAGTCCTGAGGATCATCTAGCCCAACCCCCGAACTGCATGAATAAACAGCTGTCATACAGGGATTAAACCTGCAACCTTGGTGTTATCCGCACCATGCTCTAACCGACTGAGCTATCCAGGCTCCAGCATATTTTAAACAAATAAATGATGGGGCATATTATAAAATTTTATGGACCAGCTGATTGCAACTAAATTTTTATTTGTTCCAAAATTATTATTATTATTATTATTTCAAATGTTAACCAGTTTGTATCGCACCAATCTATACGTCCAAATGACAAAAGAAACTTAACAAATTAATATTGCAAACAGGCAGACCACACATTAAAAAAATAATTGCTGTACCTTCGCCCAACTGTTGGAGGATGGGGACTCCCAAATCTAAACAGCTATGACAACACATTCTAATTCAGCAACATGACAGACCTAATATCTGGCAATAAGCGAGCTTAGTGGGGCACTTTAAAGAACTTGGAAATATATGGTGTCCTTATAAAAGCAATGTTTTGTTTTTATTTGTTTTTAAATACATCTCTGCTCTTTACATTGGCTTACAAATCCATTCACACTTACAACTTTCCGGATTTGGACAAAATGTGCAAAACGTTCCGGTCCCAGGTCCAGCTTATTCAAGGGACATTATTATGTGTTTTCATTGTTTCAAGAAAAAAATGTGAGATTTGGAAAGCTGTTGAGAAAGTTGGAAGGAATATCCAACCTAAGACAACAACCCAGTTAAGATACAGTATTTCAGGATTTACCTTTTGACACTTAAAAAAAACTTCTCCACAGAAAACAAAAGCATTCGGACCGGAATGGGCTGGGAATGCATTCTTAAAGAAGGCACCTGGGGACAGGCATATGTTGTTTGAAAACTAAGGTTGATTTCAATATACTCCCACATTTATTTCTTTAAAATGTTTGAAATATATTTGCTTATTATGCTTGTGGTATACAGTACTCTGTACCCACAGAGGTGCTGCATTACTCTCTGCTGTTCAAACAGAGCATGCTTCAAGCTATATTTCCCTAATGTTTTAATAGTTTTAAGAAGGTTCCAGAGCTGGAACTTAGGTAAACTTGCTGGAGATCCGATTAATGAACAGAACAAGAACAGTAAACATAGAAGGCATGAATTGGTAGAGAAAATTAATAATTATTTACAAAAAAAAGACCACAGGTATAAATGCAAATACAGTGGTACTCAGGTTACATATGCTTCAGGTTACAGACTCCGCTAACCCAGAAATAGTAACTCAGGTTAAGAACTTTGCTTCAGGATGAGAACAGAAATCGTGCAGCAGCAGGAGGCCCCATTAGCTAAAGTGGTGCTTCAGGTTAAGAGCAGTTTCAGGTTAAGAACGGACCTCCGGAATGAATTAAGTTCTTAACCTGAGGTAGCACTGTACATACTTTAAACCAGGGGTCTGCAACCTTTAAAACAAAAAGAGCCACTTGGACCCGTTTCCGAAGAAAAAAAAACTGGGAGCCGCAAAACCATTGCGACATTTAAAACAAATATATCTCCGGAGCTGCGAGCTGACAGTGAGCGGGAAGGTGACGTCGGGACGGTGTGTGATTAACACACGCACCGCCCCCATGCGACATCACAGCCAGTACAGCGCCAGCCACAGTGGGGAGTGTTGGGGTGTACAATGCGCCTCCTCCCCTCGCTAGTATCCGCCCCGGAGCCGCGACAAAGGTGTAAAAGAGCCACATGCGGCTCCGGAGCCGCGGGTTGCAGACCCCTGCTTTAAACAGACGTTGTTGGCAAAATATCTTTGCAAAAAGGACCCATTACTACTATTCTCAATTGTTTTCACGTAGGAATCTCCAAACCATGCAAGGACTCCTCAAAGTTATAATCTTACCATCCAATTTCTTTTCTTAATTTGCATCAAACTTTTTTTTTACAATCCTGGCCCTAAATTTACTCAACCATTAGGGGAAATTTCTGCTACATCGTCTGCCACTATTAGAATAAATAAAATAGATTTACCTAAATGTCTTCTTGGCCACAAAATAAAATAAGTCTGTCGGCTGCCACCTCTGTTATTTGCATTAATCTTAGAACCCTTAGCAATAAGTCTATGCTCAATTTTAGCTGGAAAGGGGGTAACCTTTAACAGAAAGGAATACATCCTGGGATTTTATGCAGATGGTATTATTTTATATACATCAGATCCCATTAATATTGGTAGGATGTTAAGTGAGGAATTTGAGGCTTTTCCCACTGTTTCTGGACTTAAAGTAAAATTTCAAAAAGCAGGAGTAATGTTTTTCCATACACCATAGGCCCCAAAAAATATTTTCTAAAACATTACAGATACCAATAGCCAGGAAAACTTTCAGATATTTAGGAATACCAGTCACCTATAACTTTACACCAGGTAAATTATAACAAAGTTTGGAAAACAATAAATTCAAACATATGGCACTGGAACAAAATGAATCTGTCTATTACTGGTTGACAGGCTGTATCTAAAGTAATGCTGGTGCCAGAATTACTTTTTGTATTGGAAATATGGCCAGTCTAGGACCTATCAGCCCATATTGCATAATGGCAAAGGAGGATTAATGAATTCAAATTCCAATCAGATAGACCATACTTTTTTTTTTAATGCTTTCCCTTCATCCCACCATAGGTGGATAGGGACTCCCAAACTTAGTTATTATGAAGCAAGTCACTTAAGCAATATGGCAGATTTAGTGTCAACTCAAACAGGAGTCCAATGGACAATATCAGAAAGCAGATAGTGTGTCTATAAGTGCAATAGCATTTATGAAAAACAAGTTCTGTTCCTTACACCGGCTCATAAACCTGTTTACACTCACAACTTTTAAGGGGTGAAGGTCCTATACCAGGGCAGGGTTTGTGTGTATGCAACTGAAATACAAAATCAATTGGGATATGTTCCAATTCTATAGCTACTGGATTATCAGTTACAATCCTTTTTAATACGCACTCAAGCTAAAAAAGAAGCTACTGGATAATTAACAGCATATGAGAAAATAATAGTTGGAGAAAACATGGTGATGAAAGGTCTAACTTCATCCATGTATATAACTATTATAGAGGTACAATTTTGCCCACAGCAAAATTAGGAAATTGGTGAGAACTAAGCTGGTATTTTCCTGCCAACCTAGGAGTTCGAAAGCACGCCAAAAAGTGCAAGTAGATAAATAGGTACCGCTCCGGAGGGAAGGTAAACGGTGCTTCTGTGTGCTGCTCTGGTTTCGCCAGAAGAGGCTTGTCATGCTGGCAACATGACCCAGAAAAACTGTCTGCGGACAAACGTCGGCTCCCTCTGCCAGTAAAGCGAGACGAGTGCCGCAACCCCGAAGTTGTCTGCGACTGGACTTAACTGTCAGGGGTCCTTTACCTTTATCTTTTTAAAATTGGTATTTAGACATAGAAGAAAAGGTTAAATTAACTAAGGATCAAATCCCTATCAAAAATGACAAGGGAAAGAATTCTCAAGAAAGTACATGGATGGCACCTAACTCCCAGATGTATAGCATATATAAAACCAAACAGGTCTCCCATGTCTCGGGGAGGATGTGCTACCATAGGGACACGCCAGCATATGTGGTAGGACTGTCCCAAATATGAAAATTTTTGGAAAGCTGTTTTTTCATAAATATCTCTGATCAGAGCACAAACAATTCCCATGACCCAGAGCTGGCTCAAATTATACAACCAAGACATGTTATGCATTAGAAATAACAACTTATAACACATTTGTTAACTGCTGCAAGAACAGCTACTGCCAGATCATGGAAATCCTTACAGTTATGAAATATAGACCATCATCTGGCAGACAGCACTGTTAGAAAAACTCATACAAAAATTAAAAGTGACAGGACAAAAGAAACATGGCAACTTTTATGTAGTTTGGTATGATTTTACTATAATTTCACAATGAAGCATATGGTAGGAAAGTACATCTATAATACAGTCTGGTGAACATATGTTATCCCTCTTCCTTCACTCCCTATTACAATGGTACCTCGGTTTTCGAACGTAATCCATTCTGGAAGACAGTTCGAGTTCCAAAACATTCAAAAACCAAAAACTCAATACGGAAGCCTCAATACGGAAAACTCAATACGGAAACCACATGACATGTTTGACTTCCGAGGCATGTTCGAAAACCAAAGCATTTACTTCCGGGTTTACAGCATTCGAAAACAGAAATGTTTGTCAACGGAGACGTTCGAAAAGAGAGATGCCGCTGTCTTTCTCTAATTATGATATATGTAACCAATGGCAAAAAGAATGGATATTGAAACATATAATTTTGAATTGTTACGGGTATAAACTATTATTTGCCTATGTTCACCAATCTAAACATCATATGTTATTATACCTGATTTAATTGGAATTACCGTATTTTTCGCTCCATAAGACGCACCTAGTTTTTAGAGGAGGAAAACAAGAAAAAAAATATTCTGAACGAAACAGTGGATGTATGATTTTTGTGGTTCATGCTGTGGCCACAGACGTTATATGTGATTTGACAGTGAGTTTGGGGTGACCCAATGCAAAAATCCTGATGATCCATGTGGATCCGTGCTTTGCAATCACGTATTTGCGCCATTGTGGCCCCACAAAACAGTGGATGCATGATTTTTTGTGTGCAGGCTGTAGCCATGGACATGCTATGTGATCTGATGGTGAATTTGGGGTGACCCAGTGCAAAAATTCTGAGGATCCATGTGAATCCGTGCTTTGTAACCACATTTTTGGGCCATTGTGGCCCCACAAAACAGTGGATGCGTGATTTTTTCGGTGCAGGTTGTAGCATGGACATGCTATGTGATCTGATGGTGAATTTGGGGTGACCCAATGCAAAAATCCTGAGGATCCATGTGCTTTTATCTCCCTGCTCCCAGGCAGCCTCCTTTATCTCTAGAGTCCCTTATGTCCCTCCCGATCCCTTGCCAATCAGCTGCTCAGCGGCTTTGTTTCAACACCCCCTTCCCTCTTAGTGTCTTTTCCTTAGCTGGAGCAATATTTTGCTCCTTCTTTTCTTCTAATTACTCTCCTTATTGCTTTAATCCTCCTGTCTCCTCTCCTTGCAAGTTCGCTGTCTTTACCCCCCCCTCCCAGGCAGCCTCCTTTATCGCTAGAGTCCCTTATCTCCCCTCCTGAACGCTTGCTGATTAGCTGCTCAGTGGCTTTGTTTCAACACCCTCTTCCCGCTTTCTTAAAAAAAGAAGAAGCAAAAAGCACAATCTGCTTTTTGCCCCTGGGCAATTCAGCTCCAGGGGCCACACATTTGCTCCATAAGACGCACAGACATTTCCCCTTACTTTTTAGGAGTAAAAAAATTGTGGCTTATGGAGTGAAAAATACGGTACTCGTAACTCAGTGTACAAGTTAAATATATTTCCTGTTTTATTTAATTCTTGTAAATGATATGTTCATATGCAACCAAATTTGTAAGTTTTTGCAAATGCATTTATTTGTGTGTGTGTGTGTGTGTGTGAAACCGTAAAGCTTATTGTAAAATACTTGAAAAGAACTAATGCTTCCAGTGGAAAAGCCACTGACAGAACTAAACACGATGCTTGACTCTTTAACACAGTGGTTCTAAAAAAAAAAATTATCTAGTCCACGCTGAGTTTTTTAGCGATAAGAAACAACTCCTAGCAGTGCTTGATTTATAACATAGAACACTGCTACTTTATAATATGATCATGGGAAATCCAGAAAGTATTAAACAATGCAGCTACATAAGAACATGAATCATTCCCAAAATATAATTATAAACAAACGTCTTACATATGCACCTTAAGTATCTATACAAATTCAAAGAGAAGTGTAAGCTTGCTTTCGTCAGGTAATCTCATTTATATTAAGGTCTAATTTGAGACAAATAGTATGCATTAAGGACAGGAGTCCAGCAATTGAGGAGGCAAGTGGGGAGGGCTGTATCCTTGGGGGGGGGGAGCGATTTCCTCCCTCTGGCGCTGCCATGGCTCTTGCTGGTGTGCTTGAAGTGTGCCCTAAGTCTGGGTCTCAGAACACTCACCAGCTGAAGAAAAGTGGACTACATCAAGGTAGGCAGTCACCGAAGACGACAAAAGCACAGCCACGTCATTATGTGAAATGTGACTTTTTGCATGCCATGGTGTTTACAAGTGTTTCAGAGGAAACCAATTAATAAAGAGTTTTTCAAGAGCATATTAACACTCGGAACCCTGGAACGAGATCAACACTTCCCTTCAGGTCTTTTAACAGCAGCATGGATGGCACTTTTGCCTGCCCCTTTGGATTTGGATGGCTTTTGCTTTCGAGCAAGGAAGTTAGCTTGTAAACGCAAGCTTAGCTTCTAATTTCCAGTTGATGACTTAATTGTGGTCTGCATGTGAAAAGTGTCCATTTTTCAAGTACCCACCGGGGTGCGTGTGTGGAAGAAGGTGGCTAACTTGACATGGGAGGGGGGAGTTTAAGTGGGGTGGGGGGAGGAAAAACACTCAAACTGGAGGGACAAGGAGTGTGCATGGGGTGCGTGTGTGGAAGGAGGTGGCTAACTTAACATGAGAAGGGGGAGTTTAAGGGGGGGGGGGAGAAAGGGAGGCAAAAGTTCTCTGAGAAGCCAGTCAGAGTGTGCTGGGCTTTTCTCTCTCTCTCTCTCTCTCTCTCTCTCTCTCTCTCTCTCTCTGTGTGTGTGTGTGTGTTGTTGTAAACAACATTTTGCCCTTTTTCCCTTATGGGGTATCCAAGAGCCCATATAGAGTCCTTACATAGGTTCCCTATTGGTAGGAGAGAATAACAGAGGCCAACCAGAGAATATTGAGAAGCAAAGCAGCTAGTAAGCTTGATCTTTATTGATCTGTTGCAACAGGGTGCTCCCCTCACCCACAGGAGAGAGGGACCCAGAAAAATGCTGTGCAAGGCCTTATAAAGACTTTTGAAATTGCCACCTTGTAGATCAAGACCACCCCCAGAAACATCATACATACATCACAGAAGGGGTGTAACCTAAGACCACCCCTCAGATACATCACACCTACATCACAGAAAAGGCAGCATAAAACATAAATTTGAATATTGTTTTATCCTGTTGTTGTTTATCTCCTGTCTGGCAGGTTACTTGATTGGATTGCCTGGGGAGCCTGGCCATTCTTTTGTAGCAATAAATACTTAGTTCCTGGGCCAGGTCACAGGCTCACACCGTATTCAGACACAGACATACCCTTAAGACAGGATTTGTGAAGGAAAAGACAATGGGGAGGCTTTTCCACTTTGACCTTGCAGAGAAAACATTTGATCAGTTTAGGAATCAAAATGGTTCCAGGTTGGTCTTCCTGTGCTGATCTATGTACATGCTTGGTTGGTACACTTATGAACATTACCATATATCTAAGACCATAAAATTCCTATCAAAGTGTGAACCTAAAGGAATCCTTTCTGCACCCAGCTTCTCTCTCTCTCTCTCTCTCTCTCTCTCTCTCTCTCTCTCTCTCGGCATGCCTCTCCATCTGCGTATGCCTCCTCCTGCCTCCTTGCTTCTCCTTCTCCTTCTGCCTTTGTTGTGCAGGTGCGTCTTTTGCGAGGAGCATGCTGTGCTCTCTCAGGCTGCCTCGGAGAGAAGCTGGGCTGCGATCGACAGAAATCAGTCAGGTGATCTACAAGTCGATCCCGATCAAGCTGTTGGGCAATCCTGCACTAAGTTATATAGAGCACAATTTAGACACTAATCCTTTATGCTTAATAAATTTTCAAATTGTGTTAAGGCTCTCAGAGTTTGTGTTTTTACATGTTCTTTTATAATAAAACTACGAATACAATTAAAACAAATCCAGTTTGTGTTTAAGATTTGACGAAGTTAATTTTATTTGGTTACCAAATATAGGTTGATTATTGGTATAGAAATCTTGCAATGTGAATTCCCAGTGTTCAAATTGTTTAACTCTCCCTTGCTGATAAAAATCTGGGTGATGTGATATTGGGATTAGTGGAGAAATAATAGGTACAAGATTGTGATATATACAAATGACATGTGAAGACATGGTTTATTTATTTGCAAAATTCATTATTTCTATTTCTAAAACAATAAAAAGTTACTTAAAAACAAACGGAGGCCAACAACACACAACATTCACTCCACCAAGGATTCAGGGCTCCCTGCATGTCACAGGGTCAGGTGGGTCTGTGGTGGCTTGAAGACTCCTCCTTGCAGGGCTTTTCTTCTCTCCCATCACTCCCGGGATCTTCTGCTTTCTGTTGCTCGGGGCCTTTCTTTGGAAGTATCTACCTTCTTGTGCTTCTCACTGTGGATTGTTCTCTGTTCTTGCCTGTCCCTGTCTGTGGCTCTGTCTCGAGACCTCACTCTCACATGCTCATACTTAGACTCCTGTTCATGATGTGCCCTGCTTGCATGTTTGTGCCCAGATGTGCTACTCCAGGTCTGCTGACTTGCATTGACATGCCATTCATACCCTGGGTCTTCCTTCTCCACTTTGATCCTGGTTTTAGAAGGAGGCGAGTCTGCAAGCTGTTCCTCTTTCGCGCATTTTCGGTGCTCTCTCTTCTCTTTCTTCTTCTTGCTTTTCTCTTTAGATGAACAGCAAGACACAGAGGTCAAAAAGGTTTGCGACATCCCTACTAAAGGTCCTCATTATTTCTGCTCTTTCATCTAACCATTCCCAAATATTTAATCTCTCCAGGAACCTCTTCTTCCTAGTGTGTCATATGCCCTAACATTCCCAAGACACTCAGACACAAAACATTTTTAAATCCATCTTTCCCAAATTCAGTTCGCTCTTTTTATTCTTGGTATCAGTTCTGCCCTACTGCTGACCTTGCATTATACATTGTAAGGATCACGGGCAACAGTTTAAGAGAAATACACATAAAGACTAGCCATCTGTTTCAGTTCCTTCACCCTCACCTCCTCAAACCACCCGTTAAACAAAGGCTAGACAATCCTAGCAGGTATTTGACAACTAGTCAGGTAAAAGGCATACTATAACTCAAGAAAGGCAGGGAACATGACGTAACTTTAGACTTTCCAGCATGCTTTGTCACTGCCTTGCACACTAGTCATTTCTAGGAATCAAAAGCTGGCTCATATTTTTAGACTTGGAAGTTTCAAACAGACTTACAATTTTCAGACACACACATAGATGTTACCTTTTTTGTGTTTCTTTACTACCACCTCACTATCTTTTGAAGACTCTGGTGAACTTGGAGGTGTTTTAGCACCACATCCTTTTTCTCGGAGAGCTTTTGTTACATCATCAATATCCTCAGAGTCTTTCGGTGGGCGATAGTTAGCCACATGGTCCACACGAATTGTCCTTCCTTTAATCTGTGAACAGAGAATCATTACAATTATGGAACAAACACATCTAAACTGGCAACCTTGTTATCCTCCTCTTCTTTAGATTTAGGCAGAAGTGGCACCACAAAACATAAGCCTGGAGCAAAATGAGAACTAAACTCATAGAATGTTAAGATGCCTGACAAAATACTATGACTAGTCCTTTTAAGGGCTATTGAAAATGCTCAATTTCTGCAAACCTTTCCAAGAAGAGTCTGGTGACTCAATGCACCTTCCAGAGTGAGAACTTATCACAGCCTGACTCTAGTAGCTAAGTACAACAGAGAGGAATTCTAGACACTTTATGTCTCCAATTGCCAAACCAACCTTTATTCCATTAAAATTATCAACCGCAAGAATAGTGCTTCGCTGATCTTCATAGCAAATGAAACAGAAACCTTTGGATTTCCCTGTCTTTTTATCACGTACTAGATTTATGTTCACAATTTCCCCATACCTGAAAAGAAAAACAGAGATCAACAGAACTTAGGCTTCACACTGAAAACATGGAAGGATACAAGTCAAGCCAAGAAATATTAAGAAAACACAGGTGTAGGGTTTAATTTCTCAAGACAGAGAGGTGAGAAGAGTATAACCCTGCTTCAAAAATTGTACCCATGAATGTAATTGCCACACTGGGTCACATCAAGATCCATCTAGTATGGCATTCTGTTTGCAATGTATAAATCGCCAGCCAGGCTATTCCCTCACTTACAATGGGGGAAAGCCTCTCCCTGAAGTGAGAGATAGTTAGCAGAGACAGGAAGCCAGAATTTCAGAAGGGAGGGGCTGAATTGCAGTGATGGGTGAGATAAGCAAACAGGACAAAGGTGTCCCTTTTCAGGCTGGAGTGTGGGGGTGTGGGGAGGCAAAGCACAAGGCAGGCAGTCTTGTTTTATGCTGCAGAGAGGGTGAGACATGATGTTTGCGGTCTCTTGGAATCTGAGGCTGCAGCAATGGGAGGAATAGGACCATCTTGTGATGCGAACACTCTGCAGTCCCTCCATCCAGACACAAGTTCTATATATGTGTAAATAAAACACATATCATAATGACACCACAGATTCTGCTGTGTCTCATTGTCTTCAAGAGGCTCACAGACCCTGGAAAGCACACCCGGGAGTCTCACACCACTCACGGAAACTGGGGTGGGTTGTAATGCTATTAATTAATGGACCTAACTCAGTCTTGTCCATTAATTTCATGTCCCATATCTAGAAAGCACGGGTCCAAGTGGTTTTCTGCTTGCCCTGCTCCTTTCCCAGGGTAAACACTCTCTTTTAATTCTAAATTGGAGAGAACATCAATCTGAAGAAAACCTGAATTGTGATCAAGCACTATAAAGAATGGCTTTTCCCAGGGGAAAGCAGCAGAACAAAAGGAAGTGTGGATAAGTCACATTGAATTTGATGGGGCTTACTTCTGAGTAGACTGCACCACAAATGTTTTTAAAGACTTCTGGGAAATGATATATAATGAACTGAAAAAAATGTTGAAAATAACTTTTCCTAAGAAACCAGAAGCTTTTCTTTTAGGTATTATAGGACCAGAGATCCCAATAGGCCAGACAAAACTATGTATGTGACCATGGCTGTGCACACTCTCTTAGCCCAGAAATGGAAAGATGGTACAACACCGACCAAAGAAGAGTGGTAGACAAAACTGATGAACTATGCTGAGATGGCAAAACTTACAGAAAAAAATAGAAACCAGGAAGGTCTTTAATAAAGAATGGGGAGTTTATAATTTATTTGAAAAGCTATTGTGATCCATTACATACTTTGGTAGGATTGACAGAAAATCTGTAGTAAAAATTCGAACTATGGATTGATAAAGGATTTATAAAAATAGTTGAGATAGAGATACAGAGGGGGGAAATCATTACATTAAGATCCACAATGTGGGGGAGGGAAGTCAAAAGGGATGCCTTCAAAGGAGTTCTCAAAGAAATGGAATGTTGAATGGACAATAAATGCTGACAGTTAATCTCTCTTCACACCAGACCTGAGAAGAGTGCCTGAAAGGCTGCTCACAGACATTTATGTGTTTGGGAAATAACAGAGGAGCTGACTGTAAGGCAACAAGAGCGGCTAGCTATGTAAATGGATTAAAATGAATCGAAGGATGAGAAGATGATTAAATAAGAAGAATGAAGAAGGCAGCAACTGGAGGAATTGGACATATGTTTGCACAGGAGCAGGAAACCTAATTATTTAAAAAGATGTTTAAACAATTTGGATTGATTTGTTAAAATTTGGATAACTAATAAAAATTAAATACAAAAAAAATTATATGTTTATGTATTTAATTCATTTGTTTATGTTTTTTATGTAAAATACAAAATAGATCTCAGTTTTTCACTTACTGTGAAAACACACAAATAATGTCGCCTTCTGTCAGCTCATAGGGAAGACCACCTAGAAGCAAAAAAAGGGGAGGAGGAAATAAGTACAATTCCCAGCAAAAGTCGCACAAACTGCTATACTTTCAGGGATCGTGCATCAGAGGCTGCTTCTGCGCTTGACACCCACCCACAAACACCCAGGCACTGTCACTGTACTCAGCATGCCAGGAGACCTTCTCTTGTACACCAAGCTGTGCCTCGCGCTCATTCAGCTCGTTGATAAGCTTCACTTTGGTTAGTGGACTAGAGAAAAAGAGAGAAACAAAAGCCGTGTGAGTTCAGGACAGACTTCACATCCATTCTCACCACCCTGAAGGGTGTCCCAGCAATTCGCGCCAGTGTACATGGTCCTTCCGCAGCTTAAAAAACCCCGTCCCCGTGAGGAAGAGAGAGGTAATTAGCCAAATATCACCCGGCGAGGCTCATGGCAGAATAAAGAGACTTGCATGTCGCCGATCTCGTCCTAGCACCACGCTATACTGAGGCATATTTAAGGCATAGCTGTCAACTTTTCCCTTCTCTTGCGAGGAATCCTATTCAGAATAAGGGAATTTCCCTTTAAAAAAGGGAAACGTTGACAGCTATGATTTAAAGACCCGAGAGGAATGCGTGGCGATCTTGCGCAAATTCAGACGTGCTCTTCTTCCGTGTCAGGGCGTCACACGTTTCAGGCTGGATCTCGGCTCTCGGGAAGACGATCTATAGGGCCGCGCGCTGACTCAAGAGAAGCCCCCTCGCTCGCCCAAACCTCCACACGCCATACCAAACCAAAACCTCCCTACCCCTGCCCGCTCACTTACTTCATGGGGGTTCTCTTCGTCTCTTGCGTGCAACCAGATAAAAAACACCTTGCACAAGCTCGACCGGCCGCGCACGCGTAGTCCCGCCTCCTCCTGTCCCTGATAGGTCTCGCCTCCTGACGAGATGACCAATCCCGATGCTCCGTCTCTCTCGGCCATGCTGTCCCAACCCGCCTTCTAGGAGCTCTACAACGCAATGGAACCATAGAGACAGAAATAGTGTAGAACGCATTCTGGACATCGCCGCTCAGAAATTTGAAAACCCGCCCAATGGCGTTGGTGGTGCCAAGCGGTGTCGCTCTAGCCTTTCACATCCCTGTGGTGAAAATTCTTCTGTCCTTCGTAATGGGAGGTTCCATTGGGTGGACCGGACTACGCTGGAGCGCGGGGCTTCGATTCCAATTGTCTGCGCTTTGATTAATAAATAATATGCATATATCCAAACTAAATGTCAATGCAATAAACATGTTTTAATGCTTTTAAATTTCATAAACCCTTTTTAAGATGCAGAAGGTTTGAATTCCCACGTGTTCAAACCCAAGGTGTTTAAAAATGTGGGTATCGGCGGACACGGGTGGCCGTGCTCCTCGTGTGTAAATTGTACAAGGGGCATCTTTCCTAGTGAGTGAGGCGGCCCCTCAGGGAAAGGCCCTGGAAAAGAGCGTCTGCTTTGCAAAGAATTTAAAAAACAGTGGAGAATCAGGGTAGGTTATGTAATAGGTGTCAATTTTTCCCTTTTCTTGCAAGGAATCCTATTCGGAATAAGGGGATTTTCCTTTAAAAAAGGAAAACGTTGACAGCTATGGGTTATGTTATTAATTGCCTTCCACATACGTTCCAAGGCAATGTACAAAGTATAAAAGAAACAAGTAGAAACAGTTACTACAGCACAAACAAAACAAAAGAGTTTAAAAACAATACAAAAATGGACACATACTCATCCAGCTGGAAACTGTTCTTAATACAGTACTGTACAGTTAATTTCTTATAACCCGTCACAGGACCATATGTGGCAGTAATAATAGTAACAGTAATAATAGCATAGTAATAATAGTTTCCAGTCAATTCAGCTACATGCATACCCTCCAACATTTCTCCCATTAAAATAGGGACGTCCTGTACAATAATAATAATAATAATAATAATAATAATTTTTTTATTTATACCCCACCTTCTGACTGGGTTGCCCCAGCCACTCTGGGTGGCTTCCAACATATAGAAAAACACAATACTGTAATACATTAAACATTTTTTAAAAAAAACATTCCTATACAATGCTGCCTTCAGGTGTCTTCTAAAGGTTGTATAGCTTTATCAGAATTCTAAGGTATCAAATATAGAATAAGTGGTCATAAATGCACAAGGTAAGCACATATACCTACATATATAAACCACGTTTGAAATAGTACAGGAGAGCAATCCTGGAGCCATTTTGACTCTCCCAAAGTGACCTCAAATGTTCCTCTGCAATAGGAGGAAATGGAGAAAGCTTTCCAGTTGTATTTTCACTTGCAAATCCCATTAACAAAACTGCCTACAATAATAATAATAATAATAATAATAAATTTTATTTATATCCCGCCCTCCCCAGCCGAAGCCGGGCTCAGGGCGGCTAACAACAATAAAACAGTACAAAAGTACAGGACAAACAACACTCTAAAATCATTCATTATAAAATTAATTAATTCAAGCCACTGGCAACCATTGGGCCAGAGCTCCGCGAAGATTGCCGAGGGAGGGAGTCAGGCTGTGCCCTGGCCAAAGGCCTGGTGGAACAGCTCTGTCTTGCAGGCCCTGCGGAAAGATGTCAAGTCCTGCAGGGCCCTAGTCTCTTGTGACAGAGTGTTCCACCAGATCGGAGCCACGGCCGAAAAAGCCCTGGCTCTAGTTGAGGCCAGCCTAACCTCTCTGTGGCCTGGGACCTTCAAGATGTTTTTATTTGAAGACCGTAAGTTTCTCTGTGGGGCATACCAGGAGAGGCGGTCCCGTAGGTACGAGGGTCCTAGGCCGTATAGGGCTTTAAAGGTTAAAACCAGCACCTTAAACCTGATCCTGTACTCCACCGGGAGCCAGTGCAGCTGGTATAGCACTGGGTGAATGTAATCTCGCAGCGAAGACCCCGTAAGGAGTCTCGCTGCAGCATTCTGCACTCGCTGGAGTTTCTGGGTCAGTCTCAAGGGCAGCCCCACGTAGAGCGAGTTACAATAATCCAGTCTGGAGGTGACCGTCGTGTGGATCACAGTGGCTAGGTCAGGGCGAGAGAGGTAAGGAGCCAACTGCTTAGCTTGGTGGAGATGGAAAAATGCCGCCTTTGTTGTAGCTGCAATCTGTGCCTCCATGGAAAGGGAGGTGTCGAAGATTACACCCAAACTCTTAACGGATGGTGCTGGCACTAATTGCGCCCCCGCAAGAGATGGGAGTTGCCCCCACAATCCCATATCGTCCCGTCCCAGCCACAGGACCTCTGTCTTCGAAGGATTTAGCTTCAACCGGCTCCCACGTAATCATCCAGCCACAGCTTCCAAACATCTGGTCAGTGTGTCTGGGGCCGAGTCAGGATGGCCATCCATCAACAGATAGAGTTGGGTGTCATCAGCATACTGATGGCAACCCAGCCCAAAACTCTGGACAAGCTGGGCAAGGGGGCGCATAAAGATGTTGAAAAGCATCGGGGAGAGTATCGCACCCTGAGGTACTCCACACACCAAGGAGTGGCGCGATGACAATTCCCCCCCAAGCGCCACCCTCTGTCCCCGACCAGAGAGAAACGAGCGCAGCCATTGAAGGACTGTGCCCTGGATCCCCACGTCGGCAAGGCAGTGGTCCAGAAGTTCGTGATCGACCATGTCGAAAGCTGCTGACAGATCTAGAAGAATCAGCAGCCCCGACCCACCTCGATCCAGCTGTCTACGAAGATCATCTGTTAGGGCAACCAGAGCCGTCTCGGTCCCATGACCAGAGCGGAAGCCGGACTGGAATGGATCCAGAGCCGATGTTTCATCCAGAAACCCACCAAGCTGTTCTCTCAATCACCTTACCCAGGAACGGAAGATTCGAAACTGGGCAGTAATTGGATAGATCTAAAGGATCTAATGATGTTTTATTTAAGAGCGGGCGCACCACTGCCTCCTTGAGTTCCCCTGGGAATGTCCCCGTGCCAAGGGACAAATTGATGATATCCCCCAGGAGGGCCTGCACCTCGTCTGGACACGCTCTAATCAGCCAAGACGGGCACGGGTCGAGAGGACAGGTGGTGGGCTTTCCAGCTCGGAGAAGTCTGTCCACATCGGCTGGGGATATCCGATTGAAGTGGTCCAATACTGGACCCGAGGACAGTCGAGGGGCCTCCAGTTCCTTTATTGTATCCAAATTGGCAGGGAGGTCATGGCGGAGCAACAAGACCTTCTCCGCAAAAAAGCTCGCAAATGCCTCACAGCTGTGTGTCAAATTGTTATTTAAATTTGGCTGTCCCTCAAGGGACATTAAAGACCTGATTATACTAAATAATTGCGCCGGGCGAGAGCTAACGGATGCAATGGAGGCCGTGAAGTAAGACTTCTTAGCAACCTTCACCGCCATCTTGTAGGTTTTCATAAAAGCCCTATAAGATGTTCTTGAGGCTCCGTCACGGGCACCCTGCCATACTCGCTCTAGCCATCTGAGGTCCCACATCATTTTCTGGAGCTCCTCAGTAAACCAGGGAGCCCGGTTTCAGCGGGGTCGCAGAGGGCGTTTAGGTGCGATCTCATCGATGGCTGCCAGGAGCTGGATATTCCAGCCCTCAACAAGCTCAGTCAATGAGTTGCCAGGGGGAGCAAGGTCCCGCAAGGCTTGGCGGAATCTATCAGGGTCCATCAGCCTCTGCGGGTGAGCCCAAATCGGCTCGCCACCTAAGCAGGGTGGGGGTGGAAAGTCAATCCTGGCTTTCAGAGCGTAGTGATCAGATCATAGCACCTTCATCGAAGGAGACATGATCACATCTATACCGACGCCAAAGATCAAATCCAGTGTGTGGCCTGCTTGATGTGTGGGGCCCGAAACAAACTGGGAGAGCCCTAGTGTCGCCATGGAAGACACCAGGTCCAGAGCCTGTGAGGAGGGAGTGGCATCAGCATGGATGTTGAAGTCCCCCAATACCAATAGGTTAGGGAACTCCAAGGCCCAGCCGGCCACTGCCTCCAATAGGCCTGACAGGGTGGCTGCTGGTGCGCTAGGTGGCCGGTACACCAGCCAGACAGCCAAGCTCACCTCGGAGCCCCACACTAGGCCAACACATTCATTGCTGGGGATCGATGGCGATGGTAGAGCCCTGAAAGGACAATCTTCCCTGATTAACAATGTCACCCCTCCCCCCCCGGCCCACAGTCCGCAACTGGTGGAGGACGGAGAAACCCGGGGGCGCCATCTCTCGTAAGGTAACTGTTGCCCCTTCGCGCACCCAGGTCTCCGTCACACAAGCCAGTTCGACCCCCTGCGAGGTAAAGAAATCTCGCAGGGTGGCGGTTTTGTTGCCTATAGACCTGGCATTGCACAGCACCAGTGACAGAGGTGAGTAATCCTTGCTCACCCTACCTTCGTCCCTCGGGATGAGGCGCAGATTGGAAGGGGTACGAGCATATCCATATCTCGATCCCCTTCGCCTATAACATCTGCCCCCACCGCCATACCTCCCTCGCCCCTCCACGGTAGCAATCCCAAGCCTCATAGTAGCCTCCATTGATGACAATGTTATTCTTTCGCAGCCTAAAACAATAAAACCTTAAAACAAAAAAACAAAAACAACCCAGAAAACAATAAAACAATACAAATAAAAACTGCAAAAATTACAAATTCATCAAAATCTAACAAATTCCCAAGCCCACCCAAACATCCATCCCACCCCATATATAAAAAACCTAAAGGAAAGGAGATTTTAAAACATGTTAAAAAGAACTCTGCACCCCTCCGGGTCCTCCTGGGCAGTAGCAGCATCAGTGGCAACAACCGTCCTTGTGAGGCCCCACCCTGGGCCAGATAGTAGGTGGCAGGAGCAGTCCTTGTGAGGCCTGTCAGGCCCCGCCCTGGGCCAGGTGGTAAGTGGCAGGAAGGAGCAGGGCCCTCAGGCACTCACACAGGGGAGTCGTCCTGGGCAGCAGAGCAGTCCTTGTGAGGCTTCAGGCCCCGCCCCAGGCCAGATGGTAAGTGGCAAGAGCAGGGCCCTCAGGCACTCACACAGGGGAGTCCTCCTGGGCAGCAGAGCAGTCCTTTTGAGGCTTCAGGCCCCGCCCCGGGCCAGATGGTAAGTGGCAAGAGCAGGGCCCTCAGACACTCACACAGGGGAGCCCCTGGGAGTGCTCACACAGGGGAGCACTCACAATTCAGCCCCTCCCTTCT